CCTCCTTTCCTCAACCTCGAACCATGATGCTCCCCTTTGGAGAAGACACACAAACCCCAGCTTCATCTGCTGGTCGCGCTCAGGGGGACCTGGTGACCGAGGGCGGGGCTCAGCCTTTCCCAGATGCTGCCGCAGTGGCAGCCCCTCCAGGGGGGCCGCACAGACCGCGCCCCGTTCCCGTTGTCCCGAGGTTTTCCCGCAAAGCGGGGATGATCCATCGCTCACACTCACTCGTGCGCCCGTCCCCCGTCCCCCAGGGCTGCGTGCATGGCTCGATCCAGGCCCCGCGGCTTACAAGTTCCTCTGAAGGTCACTAAAAGTCAGCTGCTAAACGGCCAATTTGTCAGATTTATCAAACCAGTTGGACTACAACTTTCATAGCAATTTTTATGGAGCTGGAGGGTTTAAACAGGTTTTAAAGAACATGTTGGTTGGTTGGTTTTCATTGTAAACAGAGCATTTGACGTAATGTCCGAGTCTATTCAGTCCATTGGTCATTTGGTAAATTTCAAGGGATTGGCTTTCATTTCCAAGTTGACTTTTGGGAAATTGACTTGAATGGAGTCCCGGTATCATCTTCGTGTTGGAGGTGATGCGGGGCTGGAGCGGTTACCAAAGCTGCCAGGCCACTCAGCTAGGAGACTGCGGGGGCAGCAGGGCCGCCAGCAAGCACCTCGCTGACAGCTCCCCACCGTGGCCCTGTGCATGTTCCGTGTCCCTGAAAACCACACTCCACCCACGGCCCCAGGGTCTCATGCCCAAAGCCTGCCTTGCCCTTGTCTGGGCCCCCAGATCCCACCAGCCTTCATGAGGGCAAATCAGTTAAACTCCAGTGACGGAGCCAGTACGCAGAGCGTTGGTGACCTGCTGGTCTCCCAACAGCCACTGGGGTGGTTTGCTGCGTGTTGGAAGCGAAGTGTGCGCAGTAGCCGGGCAGGTGCTGCTGGTGGCCAGGGAGCCTTTCTACTCGTCCCCAGGGCCCCAGGGCCTGGAGTCTTTCGGAGAGAAGGGTGTGAGGGGCAGGAGTGCTTCCCGCTTCCACAGGCGGGTCCCTCTCATACCCCCACTTTCTCCGCTGCATCTTGCCTCTAGTCCCCACCCCTTAGACCAGGGGTGGGCAAACTTTTTGACTCGAGGGCCACAATGGGTTCTTAAACTGGACCGGAGGGCCGGAACAAAAGCAGGGATGGAGTGTTTGTGTGAACTAATATAAATTCAAAGTAAACATCATTACATAAAAGGGTACGGTCTTTTTTTTTTTAGTTTTATTCATTTCAAACGGGCGGGATCCGGCCGGCGGGCCGTAGTTTGCCCACGGCTGCCTTAGACACAAGACAAAGCCATCCACCCACACTCTCCTTCCAGGGAGGTGGCTGTGGCTGGGTGACAGAGCTGACCTCGGGTGACGACTCTTTCTGGTGTTTTGACAGAATGATTGGGCTCTATCAGCAGAGAATCCAGTGGCTCTCGGAAAATAGCAGAAAGGTAACACGGCGGGGTTCACGCCTGGCCCCTCTCACCCTCCGCAGGGCAGAGCCCTCTCAAGTGCCCATCATAGACTTCCGACGGGAGTGTCTTCAGCTACAGAAGAAATGCCTGCCCAGCACAAACTGAACACCACGCAGCTGTGTCCAGGCGCAAACCACGGCCCCTTTGTCTCCTCGGTGGTTTTATTCCCAGGGAGGCTGTTCCCAGGTTTGGGGAGACGCTCACCAGCTAGAGTGACGGCCAGGGCAGACCAATCCTATGCCCAGGGGCTGAGATAACCCACCGTGGCCCTGTGTATGCTCGGGGTCCCGGAAAACCACACTCCACCCACGGCCCCAGGGTCTCATGCCCAAAGCCTTCCTTGCCCTTCTTCTGGGCCCCCAGATCCCCCCAGCCTTCATGAGGGCAAATCAGTTAAACTCCAGTTGAGCATCGGCCTGGAACTAGCGCTCATTCCTGGGGAAAACCAGGGGATGGGGAAGCAGGGGAGAGGGGTACCCCCCCAACCCTCATGGACTGAGACCCCCGGACTGAGTGCTGTCTGGGGGGGGGGGGGCAGGGGGGTTCTTGGCCTCAGCCGTCTGGTCCTGTGCGCCTCCAGCAGGGCGCTCAGCTCCGCTCCGGTCACCTTGGGCACTTTGTGGAGGAGAGGGGTTGTCAGGATGGGCAGGGCGGGGGCAGGGAAGCTGCTCGTGTCCCAGGGCCCAGGCCTGCTCTCTCACAGGAGACTCCGCGCCCTGCAGAGCCACGCGCACGGCTCACGAGGGTGCAGACGCAGAGGAGGGGAGCCGGGGTGGTAT